TCAACCAATCAGAGTATGCATGAAGTAAAATAATGTTTGAGAAATGGTTACAGTATGCAAAATTACCAGGTATTTAGTTGAGAATCTGTAAGAAAATTTGAACTCTTTACAATACAGCATAGCTATCAACCAATCAGAGTATGCATGAAGTAAAATAATGTGCGAGAAATGGTTACAGTATGCAAAATTACCAGGTATTTAGTTGAGAATCTGTAAGAGTTTTCTAACTCTTTCCAAGTCAAATCCTTCAGGTTTCTCTTCGTCATACCCTTAAAAAATCAATTTAAAAAATTCATGTGTAAATTATTAATGATGTAGAAATATTTCTTACTTTTTAAAAAATTTAGTTGATTTTCAGCAGTGAACAGTCCTTATAATATCCCTGACAAATAGATAATTAAATAATAACAAATTGTTAGATGTGTTGATCATCACAGTGAATAAGCGATCTAAGCGAACGCTGTAAAGAAAGACCTGAAAAAATGATTTCAGGCTGCAACGGGAATTGAATCCATGACGTCCACGATGCCRCCGTTCACCAACAGGATTGGCTTCATAGCTCAGTTGGTAGAGCATCGCACCGGCATCGCAGAGGTCATGGGTTCCATTCCCATTGAAGCCTGAAATCGTTTTTTCAGGTCTTTCTTTACAGCATTCGCTTAGATCGCTTATTCACTGTGATGATCAACACATCTAACATTATTTCACCACAGTTCTATCCATTCAATTCACACTAATAATAAATTAATGGAGTAAAAAAAAGTGATGTTTTATTGCGTATTCTGCGTACATTTCAGGTTTTGATGTATATTAATGAAGAAACAGAAAATGTGCTGATATGTGTGCATTTATTGATTATTGATTGGCAAAAACAAGAGAAGAGTTAGGTTAGGTATGACAAGTACTAAAGTGCTTCTCACTTCTCAAGCATTCTGTTCTGCCAATTTCCRAAGTGAGTGTAAAGTGTCAGATGAAACATATAGATTTGAGAAAATATGAGCTATAACTAATGATAGCCTTAATCTACATGTTTAATCTTAAATCTATACATTCAATATTACTTCAAAAAGCCAAAAGCCTTACAGACACTGTACAATCCCCAAGAGCTTTATAACTGCACACAGCACAGCAAGCAATTGAAAATAACTGTTATCCTTGAAACAGGATCAAGTATTATAATGATGATGATGATGATGATGATGATGATGATTGTAAGATTTGTAAATATTTCATTGTTGAGCATATCTAATTGTAAATAGTTTGAACACTATTATAGGTTACATGTACATTTACGCGCCCTATAAGTGTCTTTGCATTGCATCCAGATGATTAATAAACTGCATAATAATAATAATATTATTAATAATAATATTAATAATAATAATTAATACTTATTTTACCAGGGTAGGCACATAAGCAAAGCTGTTGTCAAGGAGTGTCCTGGTCAAAGAGGACCAGCGTAAGACCTAGGCCAGAGAGGTACCAATTTTGGCCAGGCATTTTCTTTGCTTTTAGCCCAGTAGACATCAGCAAGAAGTAGATAAGAGAAAGCCCTACAGTACCGCCAGCTTCTCCCTCTCCACAGTCCCTAAATGCCTCTCCACCCCCCAACCCCCACCACACATACAGGTTTATATGTAAGTTGCTATTTTTACCTGACTCAAGTACAGCCTCAGCTCTAGTAATGGTTGTCTTTCTAGCATTTCCTTGTAGTCCTTCTAGATATAACAGAAGCACTTCAAAGTCACTATCTGGAACCTACAGTACAAATGAAAGATATTCAAGACATGATTTTTGGCTTGAACATAGTTAATAGAGGGGAATGGTTAGAAAACCCTTTTGTTATAAGTCTTTATTCACTTTTTTTCAAGCGTGACCGTGCACAATCCTTTGCTTAACCATTGTTGGCAATGGCTGAGTGAACAGACAAAATCTTTCTTTTGGCTGCTAGTTCAAAATATTGAAAGATTTATAAGAGATATTTGGATATTCCTTACAACAATCGCATAGACGAAGTTTATGTTTACTTATTTTGCAATTTTGGATGAGCATAAATCAAACATTGTGCACGGTCAAGACCGGTTCAACATCAAAAGTGAACAAAGACCTGATAACAATAAGTTTCCTAACCATTCCCCTCTATAAACTATGGCTCGAAATAGGGAAACATTGTGTCCAAGGCATCTTTTAAATTTAAAAAAATTAACGATACAATAAAGGTTTTGCACCATCACATGACGGCAGCCATGTTAGAAGGCAGGAACAATATAATCATTTTACATGAGAAAGAATTCAATTTCCAAGAGCAAAGGGATTTTATTGTTCTGCCATCTAACAACCAGCAGCCAACCAGCAGCCCAAGCTGTTTTATAGATATGTGGGCATGTAATGGTGCAAAATCTCTATTCAAGGAATTTTGAAGCAAAATCAACTGTCATCCCAAGTGCACTTTGCAAAATCTACCAGTTTTGACTGTAATCACAGAGTGGGTCAATCACTTACGGAACCCTCAGATCCAAGCTAGGTGAAAGCCATCRAATTGGAATTTAGAAGTTGATTTTTACGGAGGGAGGAAAACCGGAGAACCTGGATAAAAACCCTTGAAGCACAGGAGAGAACCAACAAACAACTCTACTCACATACTACACAGGAGAGAACCAACAAACAACTCTACTTACATACGAAACCAACAACAACAACGATAGTTTGTTTGCACTCAAGGAGGAAAGAATTACATGAAATGTAAATTTAAAATTGCAAAAACACGAGCAAAAACAAGAACCAAGCACGGCAGGTCTCGAATTTGAGTCGCATTGGTGAGAGACAACGCATAAGAAGTGCACGCCACCCGTGCTTTCCTTAAACATACCTTGGTCTTATCAAACATGTGTTTTAAAAGCCAAACTTGCCGAACTTTCTTAAAAGCCCAATTAGGGCGGTCTTCGTTCCACATTCTAAGATATAGCAAAGCTTCATCGCCTGAACTTTTCTTGTCTGGAGCATCAGTGTTTTCAGTCTCAGCACTTTTTATCTCATCTTTCTTCTTTTTTTCCTTCTTTTTCTTTTTAACTGCAGTTTCGTCCTCTTCTAGTGCCTCGTCGTTTTTTGATAAATGTTCATCCTCATTTCTTTTTGCTTTCTTTGATTTTTCTTCTTCTTTAGCCTTGATTTTCTCTGCCATATCATCAGCTAATTCACCATTTTTATCAATTGTAATATTTTTTAAACCTTCTTCTGTGTCAAAACATAAAACATTATCTTCTTTGGACTTAAATTTTTTAGATTTTTGTTTCTTTTTCTTTTCAATCCCAGTGTCTGAATCAAGAGGATTTTCTTTCCGTTTCTTCTTCCCATTATCATTTTCAGTGTCCTGATCCTCAATACTGTTATTTTCTTTCTTACTTTTTCTCTTTTTCTTTTTCTCTTCAACTTCAATACTCTGGCTTTCATCACTGATTTTGTTTGTAAGATTTTCTGATACACGACCATTCTTTTCTTTCTTATTCTTCTTCTCTTTGTATTTAATGTCCTCGCTTTCTGTATTCACGTCGTCCTTGGCTTTCAACTTTCTCTTTTTGACTTTTTTAACGTTAACTTCTTCTTCTTCCTCAGCACATGTTGCAGCCTCTTCTTTGAAATCCTTTCTCTCTTTAGAGTAACTTTTCTTTTTTCTTCTGTTTTCTTCCATCACAAGCAGCTATAGTTTGATACACGGCAGGAAAATACCATAAACGAGGCAAGCTAACGAATAGAAGAACGTCTTAAAGTGGATTCAGAAATTTTAACGTGATTCGTCCGCCATTTTGTTTTGGAATGGAGGAGCGAGACCACAGGATACCCAAATACTGAAAGTTTCGTAAGCGGTGCACGTGGGTTCCCTGTGGTCATCTTATTAGAAAATATTCTACTGTAAGTAAAGAAATTAATTTAAGAAAACAGATAGCCTCAATATTGAGTTAGGGATTGTTTGCCTTTAGAAAATACAGCACTATTAGGTAGTTTGATTTCTGGACTCCGCATCTGATATTAGCCATGGCATCACATGATTCGAGGCTTTTCTTCTGCACCTAGACTCTGGAACACTTTACCTTAGCACATCAGGACTAGCACCACCTTGTATGAATTTAAATCAAAATTGAAAACATTCTTATTCAAACGAGCTTACAGTGACATATTTAGAATGTTTATCTTTTTTGTCTTTTTTTTTAATATGTACAATATTAGTATTAATTTTCTATATTTTTCATTATATCATTACCATTATTATTATTTTTGCCATGCATTTTAATTATATTTTAATTTTATATCATAATTTTATATTATTGTATTTTTCATTGTAAATAGCCTTAGAATTTTAGATTTTGGCTTAATAAATTATTATTATTAATTACTATTATCTTTTATTCTTCAGATTTTTCGGTGTTGTGCATGCGTGGTGACACAAATATTTAGTCAAACCCAATTAGTGGTCTATCATCGTTGCTGCGTTGTGATTGGATGAGCTACTACTAGGCTATAAGTCATATCCAGTCCTACTAGTAGCGAAAAGTGCCGGCTTTGCAAACAAAAACATTAGATTGAACTTTAATTCAAAACTYGTTTGCATCTATATATTTGACCGATTAGTTGTTTGACTAAAACAATTAGTCCTCTCATCCTCATGGGCCTTCGATTGGCCTCATGGGCTATTAGCGACCTTAAGTTTCGTAACTGAAATGTACAACGCCGACGTCAACCGGAAGTGTAAATAACTTCTCATTGGGGTTCTGTTCATTGGAGATTTCATTCAAAACATTGTCAGTAAAGTCAACTCATCCCGCACAGGAAAGACAGACTTTGAGGGCGCGAACCCTAAAATGAAGTTATTTACACTTCCGGCTGACGTCGCCGTCGCAGAACTTGAAAATCTTAAGGTCGCTGTTGACTCATAGTCCATTCGGGCTCAAGGACTATTGCTAACTCGTTTACAGGTCATACGATGCCTTTTATATGTCAAAACTGTAAGTGACAACCCTCATGACATTTACAACAGCTTTTACGGGTAAATAGAAGCTTGATCATCCTTGTATCAACATTATCAATGCATGGTTAACGACCCGAACACCGTATTCATTCACGCATTGACAAACAAGCAATAATTTTCAAGGTTTTAAAAGCATACGCCTTTTAAAGAAAGTAAGCATAAGCAAAACTAGATCTATGAATTAAAGTTGTTGAAGTTGTTGGTTCTAAGGGCGTCTCCCACGAGTATTTATGATACACTTGTCATCCCACACGGCATCGCATGTCTGAGATCACGACTTTAAATTAAATGGCTATCAATCTATACAACATCAGGAATAGCCATTAGCTAGCTAAGGAAGAAAGTCAGCATCGACCTAATTTTTTGCTACTCAAACTAAGGTAAGAGGATTGTATTTTTTATCATGATTTTGATATCTTTACAGACTTAAAAAATATTTAATTCTTTATTGGATTTTTGATGTTTATATTGACCGCTTTTATGTCGACCTCATTTCTATTAATTTTGCCCCAGAATTTTTGTATAATAGAAGTTGGATTAAGTTTACTTTGGAAACTAAAGTTTAATTTTTGTAAGACAGTAAAGCAGAATCTACTACTATTACACTCTAATTCTTTTGTTTTCTGTTGTATTTTCTGTTCTATTACACTCTAATAAGTTCACTTTGTTTAATGTGTTTATGAAAACCACTCTAGCCTGTGATAAATTGATAAGCATTGGTATCTCCCTTGTTTTGACGTCGGAGGATTTTTCCTCCCTCTGCAAAACCCAACCACTAAATTCAAATTCACGGCAATCACTGACGGTTAGCCGTGACCTGATTCAGATCAGCCGATCTGTAAGTTAGCCATGCCCTGACTTCATTAGATCAACCCAGAGGTTTTTTCAGGGTTTGATCTGTGAGTTAGAAATGTCCCAGCTTAGTGAAAAGTAGGGATTGAATTAAATAAGGACAAAAGTATCAAAATTATTTATGGAAGAAACATGATTTCAACTTTTGGGAACTATATTGTTTTCGTTTTCATGGTTATCACTGCGCAAACTAACCTGATTTTAGCAGGTGTTGTCATTAATATTGAATGAATATTTTTAACCCGAGTATGGTTACTGAGTTACCAGATTAAAAACTGTAATTAAATCTTATTTCTTCGATTTCTAATTAATTACCTTCTTTTTTCTTTGGCTTTTTTTCTAATTTTTTGGCTGGTTGGTTGGTTGGTTGG